GCCGCGGCACTTTGCCGTCACCGCGTGGATGAGGCGTTGAGTTCTTGTCGCGAGCGTCTCCGTCGGGGCGGCGGCGAGCATCAAGGCGTGGACGTGCTGGGTTTGAGTGATCCCGATCTTGGCCATCGTCCGGGCGTACCGAGTGTGCCATCTTGTGGTCATTTCTATGTAACTACATCTATCTACTGGGAGAAACTGGTTGGACCAAAGCGGTTGGTCGTGGACCAGCGGCGACGGCGCCGGAAGTGTGCTCGGCCCCACGCGAATGTCGAACCAGTACTTGAGCATGAACTTGAACCGGTCGGGCACTGCCTTTGACGTAAGCAGGCGCCGGATCCGGGGCAGCGACGGGTCGGCGAAGGCGAGGTCGGCAAAGTTGCCCCACGGCATGTAGGCGTTGGCAACGACAGCCATGCTTGGCGACGACCAGGCCGGAACCGGGGACGTCGTGAGCGCGGCCTGCATGTAGCGTAGCGAGTGGCCACGGTGACGCGCTGACCACGTAACAAGCGCCGGCTTGAGGCCGAGGCCGGCTTGGTGTTTTGGCGCGAAGACGATACTTTGATGGAGGAGCCGGTGGCCTTGCGCACCCGCGCCAATGACCGGCGGCTCGCCGTTGATGAACTGGAGGATCATTTTGTCGATGATTGCAGCCGTCGTGGTGTCCGGTGCGACCCACGCGAGCTGGTACCAGAGGACCGGGAGGCAGACCGCTTGCAATATGATGGCCTTGCCGGCCAAGGTCGTCGACTTGTGTCGCCAGAGGAGCAACCGGTCACGCAGGCGACTCAGTGCGTAATCGCAGCGAGCGTTGCGCGGCAGGTTTGGAGCTACGAGAATGCCAAGGGCCTTGGTCGGCGTCGACGGCTGAACGAGCTGTAGCGTCGGCAGGTTGGGCAGAGGCGAGTGCGTGAGGACTTGCGTCTTGTCTCGGTTCAGCTTGAATCCCGAGAGGCTGCAAAAGTGGTCTACGAGCGTAAGCTGGCGCTGGAGAGCGGCTTCGTTAGTCGCAAAAAGTTGAGAGTCATCGGCAAAACAGCTGACGACGTGCGTCGTCGAGTCGATCTGGAGGCCGTCCTGGGCGTGGTTGCGGAGCTGGAGGCACAGCGGTTCGAGCGCCATCACAAAGAGCAGAGGCGAGAGCGGGTCACCTTGGAGTACACCCCGTTTGATGCAGAAGGGCGACGAGAGGTCACCGTTGACGAGGATCTTGGAGCGGCGTCCCGAGTACAAGCATTGCACCATGGTGCAGAAGCGCTGCGGGAGACCCCACTTGCGGAGCACCGCGAGCAAGTAGCCGTGGTCGACGCGGTCAAAAGCTTTTTCAAAGTCGAGGAGCGCGATGGCTGCCTCGGGCTTGTGGCGGCGGGCGTACTCAAGCAGACCTTCT